CCGGGCTGGCATGACTCCAGACAGACAGTTCTTTTAAACAGCATGCGCAGCACAGTCGCTCATTGATACCGCGAGTCTTTGTACTGCCCTTCGACACAGGGTTGCACACACACAGCCACGCACAGCACACAGCAACACAACAGCACAACACAGAGCAAGCACGTAGCTCCGAGTTTCACGATGTGCAGCTTGCAAAAGCGTGGCGTGGCGGGTGGGTTCTGGGGTTCTAGTTCTGGTTGATAGGCATTCGGGGAGTCCAGGGCACCCGAACCCGTTTGACGCAGGGTAGATCAAGAGGTCTGCTGCAGCCTCCCCGAAAGCCCAAGCCCCGTCCCGTGTCCCCCACCCACCCACCCACCTTCTCTTCCCTTCCCCGGTATTGTTGCGCCATTGCTGCTCCGGTAAGGCTTCGACAGAATCTTCCGCAACGGTTGCCCGGTGCTTGGCTTGCTCGAGGTCGCTACCGTGACTGCGACCTCATCTGGCTTGGCTGGGATCTCATCGCATGGTCCGGTCCTTTGCATCGGAAAACGCTCGCAGGCTCTGCTGAGGTTGCCAAGGGCTCCTTTGGTGGGGTTGGTGGGGTGGAGGTTCCCGGTACATCTGGTTTGATAAGGCCACTGATCCGGCGACAGACAACATTGACAAGGCTGGCCTCGTCCGATGCTTGGGAACTGCTACACTTCGCCTCCTTCTGTCAGCTTGTCCCTGGGTCTGGGTGCTGTGTCTCGCTGTTGTGTGACCCCTTGTTGACCTAGGTCACGACCTTGGCTACGACCTCGACTGCTTCGAAGCCTTTTCGGTGTTTGGTTGGACTGTATCCTTTGCTCTGCTATTCTCGTGTTCCTCTTGCTTTATCCCGTGCCTCAGGTCTTCGACGAGGCTCCCGATGCAGGTTTGGCGGTTGCTGGGGCCTTGGTTCCGGTGTCGTTGCGACTGAAGTGCCCTGCAGGATCAGTTGGCTGTGAGTGCATGTGCTGACAGTAGTGCTGTGCAGGATCGCTTGATTAAGCAACCCTGAGTGCATTGGTGTGTGGGTCAAACAGGTGAAAGCTTGCCCGGTTGTGATTGTCAGCATGAAGCCAGACTGTGAACACACGGCTTGTCGGTCTGATGATTGGATCCCCACACCGTGAAAACATGGCCTAGCGATCCTCGAGGCTTGAGACATATTCAGCTGGGATCCCGACACAACGACAGGTTTCAAATCCCCATGAGGAGGAGCTGTATGTTCCGGCATTACTTCAACGGGCCTTGCGATTTGGGGCTCTCGGTCCTGGGTTGCGGGATTTGTGCATTGCAAAAAAGGGCTTTGGGATCTAGGGTTTACGGGTTTTGGGCCCGCCTCGCCATAGCAGCCTTTCCTGCACTTGGATCCTGGCGGTGCATGCATGCTTTCAGCTGGAGACTGGAGAGAATGCCGGCCTCATGACGGCCATGAAAGCCACGAAGCCCATGAAAGCCAAGGCACCAAAGGCTAAGCGGGCCGCGATGAAAGCTATGAAGGCGGCTAAGAAGCCGGCAGCGAAGCAGAAGATCCACGAGAAGAACGATGGCAACAAGTTGGCAGAGGACCTCATTGGGCTCAGACCGCACTACCTGCTACCCAATGACGAGATGCAGTACGAGGTGAATCAGGTCGTTGATGGCCGTCACTCCGAGAGCTTGTGCCATATGCTTCAACTCAGGAGGAGCTGCAGCCAAGACTTGTGACGCCGCTCCAAGCTACTTCTATCTTTTCTGGAAATCATTTATTTTCCGGAAAAAAGCGATTCATGTCGTTTGGCAAAAGCAAAAAAAGCAAACCAAAAAGCAAAAAAAAGCGGCCAAATTGCGGCACAGCTTGAAAAAAAAGCGAAAAGAAGGATCCAAAAAAGGAAAAAATGGGTCAGAAAAAGCAAACCGATGAAAAAAAAAGGCAAAAAATCGAAAAAAATGCAAAAAAAGCGAAAAAAAGCAAAAAACGCTGAAAAAAAAAGCAAAAAGCACACTTTTTCTTTGGTGTTGCTTATTATTTGCTTTTATCTTTGCTTGTTCGTTGCGTTTCTTTGCTTTTTGCTTTGCTTTTTGGTGTTCTTTTATCGTTTGCTTTTTTTGCTTTTTTTATAGAAGTAGCTTGCAAGCGGCGTCACAAGCCAAGACCGCAGGTGGTGGACCGTCGCCTCGTGGACGGCAAGGAGGATGGGGGTGCTGCTGATGGCTCGGCGGGCAAGGAAGGACCGGCAGATGCTGCCAAGCCAGGCCGCAAGAGGAAGCAGAGCAGATCGTAGCCTCGCGGAGGGCAAAGAGGATGAGGATGCTGATGATGACTCGGAGTGCAAGGAAAGAACGGCAGATGCTGCCAAGCCAAGCCGCAAGAGGAAGCAGAGCAGCAAATGTAAGCACATAGCCGCAGGCAAAGACCTTGCAAGCAGGGCCAAGAATGACCTGCCTCAGCCCGCACCGGTGCTGTGCATGGTGGGTGCACCACGTCCCGCGGCAGGCTGCACGCAAGGAGTGTTTGCAGAAACTTCTTCCAGTGGCCATGACGACATACTTCACCTGTCTCCCGGTGTTTCTTTTGGAAAACGTGGCAGGCCCGAGCAGTGCAGATCTGGCATGTATCGGTTGTGTGCCGGAGCACGTTACTTTTGATACTGCCTGCAATGACGGAGGGAATTTCGTGCGGGAGACTGCCTCGGGCTACAGCTTTGTCCAGAAGCTTGAGTCGTCTCGGAATCATTGCAATGGATTGAGACGCCTCGCTGCGGCTGAAGGCTATCCTCTGTGCCTCTTCCAGCCGTCTGTCCGGGGCCCGGGGCTGCTCGTGGGATCTGAAGCGAGCCCAGTGGCACACATACAGCAGGGTATTCGTGCTTGGATGCTGCAGTTCAGATGGGATGCAAAAGGGCACTCTGGCTGAGGTCTCCTTGCAGGTGCAAGGGGATGTGTCACGAGTGCTTCATGGACATGAAGACCCGGAACTATGGTTGTTGGTGTCGAGAGGCCCTAGGCCGCTGCGGGGTTGAGGGCCTGCATCAGCAAATAAACCCCTGCCCTCAGAAGTTTCGTGAAGAACATAGACAGAGAGAATACATATTTCTTGTTACCGTACAACCATACGTTTCTTCCTTGCTGCCGCACACCATGACTTTTCAAGGGGGTGGTAGTAGTTGATGAGATTCCCTTCAAAGCCCCACAACAGAGGCGCGTCTTTCGGCGCTGGAGCCGTAGCGGCTCCTCGAACCCCGGAGTGGAGTGAAGTGAAGAGAAGATTAACGCCTGGTATTGCCGAGTATGATGTACTTCTTCAATGGCGTTGCTTCCCTTTAGCTCTCCTTGTGTCAGGGCGGTCGGCCTAGACGTGCTTTGTTACCATCCGATCCACTCCAAAAATGGGGTCCGCACTTGCACAGTGGGCGGGAGCCATCCTCCCACAGGCCAGCAGAAAGACAGAAAGAGAGCTAAGCCTGAACCGGGCAATTAAAAGACCCCTGCCTTCCCGGCATTTGAATTGTCACCCTGTTCAAAAACCCTGTGCTAACATGAATGCCCAACTACACGAGATCGAGGGTTTGGAAACAGTCGCAATTGGATGAACTTTGAGTCTTTGAGCTCCAAAGCAACGATTAAGACCCAGGCTCTGACGGGATTGTAGTACAACTATGGAAAAACTGTAATTACCTGCAAACCAGTTTAGGGCAATGATTACGCAGACTTCAGGTGCCCTTAACTGTACAGGCAAATTGGATATACAGAGGCTTAGACGCCAATCGAATAGGGACGACGTGTATTCAGAGCTCCCAGTTCGGGCTTTAGCACGGGTTCTGACGGGTCGTTACAAATTTGCGACATTGTGCGGGCTAGAACCATATGGTTCGTCAGGATGAAAGGAGCAATGAGTCGAGATCTGCAGTGCTTGTTGTCAGGGATTGAGCACGGAAGCTTAGTTAGTCCCCGGCTACACTTTGCAGGGATCGCGACGAACGCACTTGAAAACATGGGGTTCGTAGTGGCATACAGTGGCATGATGCGTATTGGAACGCGGAATGTCCTCAGTGTCTAGAGAGTCCTAGATGCTGAGGATCCCACACCAAGGGTCTACAAAGTCTGCCTGCCTGAGTTTGACAACCACTTGCCGGTTTCAGATTGCTAACAGTGTGCAATGCTATGCAGAAATGAGGGGAATACGAAGACTCTCACATCTATGTCAATGTTTGTATGTATGTATGTATGTGTGTTTGTTTGTTTTTGACCTTAAACCCTTAACCGTAAACCTGTATGTATGTATCTATGTATGTATGTATGCATGTGTATATTATGTTATAAATAAATATATACACATATATCTTTACATGCCTAGCTATGTTTATGTGTTTGTTTCTGCTTACAAACACATGTGAAGGTGTGTTTCTTGGTTGTGTAGTTTTCTGCCAGTTCGTCCGATTTGTATTGGGTCATAGCACATCTGCACACATCCGAGGTGGATGTCTCCAAGCGACAGGGCGCTGTATTTCGGCTTCAAATCCATATCATCATAGGCTTTTGAGTGTCCGGGGAGAGGAACTACACTGAATTCGGGCAAAGTTCACGAACCTTGTCCGGCAGAGCCTCGCGGCCGTGCGGAATTACATCACAGTCTTAGCAGGAATTCCTTCATGAATCCATGTGACTTTCACCTATCCAGGACATTGCCATTCAGCGTGATGATTTGGAGCGGTGGATGCGACGCGCTTTTGCACGAAACATTTAGAACTTTATCTTGACCTCCTGTTTGCTCAGTGTCCGGTTGTCGAAACTGACCCAGCTTGCTGCGCATGTGTCCAAGGGTTGGTGGTCTTTGACATGGATTCTACTCTGATCCAGCAAGAGGCATGTTCTTGCAAGTATCCAGCACGCATCCACTTGCTTTTGTCATCGCGCTTCCAAGCAGGCAATGCTGTGTGCACACGGGAGGTCATCGATGAGTTGGCTAAATTGGCCGGAGTCGAAAGTCAAGTCAAGGCCTGCTCAGACTTCCCTGGCACCCCGAACACGACATCAATTGTGAAGGCTCGTTGATCCGACCACCACATGTTGGGGTTTGCAGAAGGGTCCCGATCTTGCTTGCCTTGGCTCCTGTCCCAAATCTGCATATTCGCGCAAAGTGTAATGCATGCAAAATGTGACGTGCGCAACCTGCGCCGCATCTGTGACACAGCGCCGACTGTACACCTGCCAGGAGATTACTGAAGCAGCGATGCGTGGCGAACTCGATTTTTTTGGATCGCTGAAGTCCCGCGTGGCACTGCTGAAAGGCACGGCGACGACTTGTTTCTGCAGTGCGAAGCTGGTAGCCACCGGTGTAAACTTGAATTAAAGCCATGTTACACTCGAGATCTCGAAGTCTTGAATCTTGACCAAGATCAATCTTCGATGATCTTTGCACAGACCTGGAACTGCAAGTTTGAGAAGAAATTTTAGAGTCTCTAGAGTTGCGGAGAATTGGGGAGATTTACTCTGTAGCAGGATCCTGCAGGAATTGCACACCAAGAGGCTCACTTGCATTGACTGGTCCAGGTCACAATGCGGAGGAACTTTTTGCAAAGGTGAAGGTGCACCTGTGCTCAGTCTTTGTCATGTACGATGGCTTAGTAGCCATGCATTCGGCTAGAGTCGCGCTAAAGGGAGAGTCCAGCTACAATACCGGCCATCTGTGTTCCACCACTGCCTGCTTCGGATTTGCTGCTCGAGAGGCAAACTTGATCTTTACCCCGGGTGCCAAGCAGCTCTGCACGTGTTTGAAGCGCCTCTGAGCTGCACATTACTTGTACCGTCATTCTTGTCGTCTCACAACACCAGGCTTTAGTCAGATGGCAGAGCACCCTTCTGCGGCTAGATCTTTCGATGAACACCGCCAATATGCAACACGGATGAAAGATGGACGACCACTAATTTGATGCCCCTGAGCGACCCTGGCAAGCGTCCACTAGGTAGGCACCGCAGCAACGTTTTGTGAATGGAGCGCGAGGTTGTTTTCCCTCTCCCCACCATCCCGATCTCCTGCTTTTTCCTGAAATGGCTGCATGACCTGCCAGCATCAGCGCGACCCCCCTTCCATTGCGTACCACCTTGCTTGCATCGCCAGCCCCAGGATAACAGTCCGTGCTCCCCAGTACCAACAGACTTCTCATGCCGTTCATCACAGGACGACCTGGGCCCTATCACAACTAGCACAACACTTCCGGAAGGCTGATCATTACTACAACCAGAGCGCTCTTATTGCTGACATTTCCCAACAACACGCCGGAGCAACACGTTGTCGAGATTCAATGCTCCATCCAGACTTGGGTTCCAGATTCATGACATGCCGTGTTGAAACAGCCCTCAAATTTTGACATCCCAGAAAGGTACCGTCATGGGAGACCTGTGCACAAAGCAGATCCGAGCATTTCATGATTTTATCGACGCCTGTTTGCTGAAGTCCCTGGTCCCGAAAAAGTTGACGTGCCAACGTGCTGACTCGGAGGGCAAGCGACTTCCACATGGAAGCATCCTCCTGTCGGTGCTAAGACGAAGTATGTCAGTCTTGATCCTGACCTTGAGCCGTCCGAGTTGGAAGGTGTGAGAAGGCTCTGCATTCAGCACATTTTGGCCCAGAACATCGCAGAACCCCACTTCGGAACGCATCTTTTCTGACGAAAGAACTTCTCTGCCCAAAGCCCTTTCAAGCCTCACAGATCCAGAAGCTCAAGCCTTGACAACGGCCGCTAAGCGGCTCCGCCCTTCCCTCTTCGACGAACCAAGAGGGCCCCCACTCGTCATGGACGGAAGGGTCGCCACGACGTGCATCCTAGCGTCCCAGCAACAGGGCTTGCCAAGCTGGAGCGCAAAAATGTCGCACGGCTGCAGGCTCAATGTAGGAAGGGCCTGAGAAGTCCTTCTCTGCCTTTCGCGGCATGCCCTCGGCAAATCTCGGCTTGCAAAACTTATTCGTTGTGCAAAACGGCAAGCATGTCGTCTTTCGATGTCTTTCGCGACGATTCCCTTCGATTTTTTTGTCGGCCAGCCCCAACGTGTGCAAGCAGGATACCTGGGTGCGCCGTCTGCTAAGAACACAGGTCGAGATTGAGAATTTCAAACCTAGGGTACCCCGCAACATACACTCTTGACGTTCCATGCTTTCTCCTTGTGAGCTGCTTGTTGGGTCAGTTGCTTGATGCATGATTGACAAGTCGACGTTTGCATAATAAACACTTATCATGGCATCAGCTTTAGCCGTCTCCAACCCTAGGTTTCCGGGCCGCATGAGACGAAGCATCAGTTTTGATCACAGAAACACACGGCTTGCATTCGTGGGCGGAAACTGAGGCTTGGGCTTTAAGACGGCAGTTATTTCTGGTGGCTTCTTGCCTGTGGCACAAGAGGCCAGTATGCCTCCAGCTCGTTTGTATTGTAGCTTTCTCTGTGTTTGCAAGCTGCTGTCTTAGAGGTTCAAAAGTATCTGGGCCTGGACTATGCTTTTGCCAACACTTTGGAGGTGGATGAGACAACTGGTCCCTTTGCAAGCAAAAGACTAGCATGCAGAGTTCAAGGAGATGGGCCGCTGTTGTGGGTGCAAGCACAATTTTGTTCGAAGGTTTTCTCTTGCTTGTGCCAAGGACTCCTGACGGGAAAGACTTCTGGGCCAGTGGTGACACCACAGAGAAAACGGCAGCTGCTGGCCACTATAGCCAACGTGGAAGGCTCAACCACAATGCTGATCCCTCAAATCCCCTAACTAGAGGCGAACGAGGAAAATGCTGCTAATGTGGTGACCTTTCTGTCGGCCGAAGGCTGTGAGATCCAGCAGACCATTGCTGTCGGTGATGGCGCAAACGACCCCTGCTTGCTGTTTGACCACATTCGGCTCCTGTCCTTTGTCCATGTCGCATGAGGACATGCAGCATGTGCATCCACTCCATCGTCAGGACATTCCCATGCTGCATGCCGCTGGACTCGGCATCGCCTTTTGTGCGAAACCCAAGGCACACCGTCCTCCTCGTCACAAAACCATCGCCCTTTTCCCACGCTATGACAGCGCGTTTTGTCAGGTGCAGGAAGTCTCGCGCTTCAGAATAAACCAAATGGATTTGAGCACGGTGCTTTTTCTCATCGGCATCTCTGACTCCCAGCTGCGATATCTTCTTAAGCTGCGTCCAGGCTGCTTATTGCATACTGCTCTAGACAGGCCCTTTGCTCCTGTTCTCGGCGGTTGCACAGATCAAGTCTTTCACCCGCTGGGTGCGGAACTTTTCTGAGGCAGTTTTCCTGGTGCAAACGCAGCCCGAATCTGCTGTGAAGCCCTTGAGAGCCCCAAAGCTGCTCCTGTGTCTGCATGAAAGCTGCGAACAGCCCAGGAACGCGCGATGGAACGGCTAGCAGATGAGAGCAAAAGTTGAAGGAGATGGGAACGAGCGGATGCCGTCCGCCCGACCTGCTGGCACTGCATAGGTGATCATTCTCGTCCTCGGCTGAGCGATGATGAGACTGCTGTCGGCTTATCGATTCGGTGAGGAGATCTAGGCATCCGGGAGTGTCTCTTCGCGTTTCTGTTTGATTCTATCTATTTTGTTACGCATGCTTCGAGCAGGTGAGTCAGCGTCTTCGGAAGATTCTGCTCGACCGCAGGTGGACAGGCTGCATGCAGCAGACCCCCTCGCATGTCCCCATGGAGCAGAGTCACTGCCACGCACCACATCTCACAGCACACTGAAGCAGTTTCTTTCAATGCTGGACTCGAGACTCGGAAGGAGTTTGATGGGGTCTGTGCTTGGCCTTCCATAGCCATAGAATGGTGAGGATGGTCAAGGCTGCAATTTCTATGAGAATTCTTGAGAGGAAGTCCAGACTCGAATCGCTTACGGCCGGTGTTGTGCTGGCCACTGCTGGCCATACCCTCCCAGTTGGGTGGTCGGTGTGTCAGCTTGGCGCAGTACGTTGAGTGCAATGGACCTGTCAGCATACAGACCGAGCTTGTCAGATCAGGAACCTTCAGGGTGGAGAATGCAGGCGTCAAGGAAGCTATCGTGAAATTGCCGTAGCTGATGCGGACAAGTTGCTTATGTAGCGTCACGTCACAAAAACCATTCGTCCGAGATCAGAAGATTTGCACATGAAGGGTGGGCGGTGAGGCCTGTAAGGTTGTGGCTTACTTACTACGACGGATGGCCTCATTAGTAGCTCCGAATGAGAGCGATGGATCGACTAGTGGATCGACAACTTGAGTTGGTCAGCCAGTTGTCCTGGCAATTTCGCCACGAAACTGGCAGTAGTCATGTACGACACCTTCAAAGAAGCCTCAGTTTCAGTCTCCGAATGCATCCAGCCATGTATGGGCAGTTTGTCAAGAACTTGAATGCATATCTCGGACAACCCGTGTGGCCATGCTGGCCAGCAGCTGGCAGAATTCAGAATTGTATTTGTCTCAGCCAAGACATGGGGCAGGCACAGGTTTCCCAGCTGCTTATTGACAGTGTTCGTTAGGCACATTGGTTCGTCAAACAACGACGCACTTGTCGAGTTCTTGAACCTTCGGGAGGATTGATTTGAGTGACAAATCTTGAAGCTTCATTAAAGTCAGGCTGCATACCAAGGGAAGTGACGGAAGAGTTTGGGAGGGGAGTTGGGGTTCTACATGTTTGTACGAGTTGGAGCTGAGCAGGTGTGTTGCCAAGCTGGGTTTCATCAGCTTCGGAGACTATACGGAGATCGGACGATATCCGACGCTGTTCATGACCGGACGAGGCAGAAGATGGCGTCATCGCTACATTGCACTCAACTCGCTGTCTCTCTCGAAAGCTGGGTGCGGTTTGCCAAACGCTCTGAATCTTTGCTTCAAAGGAGCATACCGCAATTTCGTTAAATTTCAGTGCGAGCCGAGTGGCACCAGGATCCACCCACGTTAATTCGCTCGCTTGGTGGCCCTTCTCCCGCGATAAACTCATCCGAGATAGGATGTTGAGGAATATTCGCGAGGAGAGACAGAGCCCTCTGCAGTTTTCGAACGCAGTTAGCAGGTGGCCTTTAGCCTGGTAGACCGGATAGGGATGTTATTCTTTTGCGCATTAGTTGTAAGAGTCGTTGCAAGTACAAGTCTTGGATAAGAGTCGTTGCAAGTACAAGTCTTGGACAGGCAGCAGAGCATCAGCATCATCCCTATTGATACTCTTGCATGCAGCGGGGCAAGTGGCTGAAGCCTGAGGGACTGTCGAATGCGGTAAAGCGTTTGAGAGTGAACCTGCACCTTGTCACAGGTGTCAGTCTGCAACGATTCACGGGTCCCATCAATTCCATGCTGATAGCGATTCCATGATATCTGACATGCCTCATTTGTCGAGTGGGCTGTCCGAGGCCGTAAGGTTCCTCTACTTAACCCAGAATTGAAGCTTCGCCACTTGCACCTGTGTAGCCCGTCTGGGGCAAGACATGGTGGGCGGAGGGAAAGGAGGTGTGAGAGCGGCGTGAGCTGGTTCAGGGATCTACGCACGTCAGCATCAGCCTTCTCCGCCAGCGGGCTGCTGTGCTCATCGCGAGGCCCACCTCCGCCGAATCACGGAGGGTGCCCCGCGGAATGCCGGCGTGGTGGTTCTGAACGAGGTAGGAAGTGGCGCCTGAATCTGCATGGTGCACACGTGATCGCTGGCATGCAGACCCAGCACAGGCCGATGTGCCGATTGGCTTTGGCGTCACAGCGAGGTCGTCCGTGCCGTCGCATAGAAGAAAGGGGCCTTGGCATTGCTGCGTATGCTGACTTGTGCTCGCAATACATCATTTGTTTACTTCGCTGCGGGAACCCCAGAATCCGCATGCGCGCGCTTACAGGTCGACGGAAGAGTGCACAAATCTCGGGGCGGAGGCATCTCGCATGCGGTGCACTTTGTGCACGTTGCTTTGAGCATGGCATTCCAGACACTCGAGCTCTCGTTCGCGTTTTTGTTCTCATGGCGTGCCCTCCCAACAGGCTCTGGTGGTCTACCATCAAGCAGATGCCGGGGCCTCCAAAAGATGAACCATGGCAAACTTCCTCGGAAAGGTATACGATGGAAACATGTCGAAACTGAAGTTTCCTGCACAGGGCTTTTTAGCCGCCTGCATGACTTGAACTGATGGTGCCATTATCAGCTTCGTATACTCGATTTCGCTTCGGGCTTTCACGTTTGAACGCTTAGGGCTTAGTGTTCAGGGCGAATCGGCGAAGCCCCTGCTGAGGGTTTTCCTCAGCAATACTGGACAGAACGACACGGTCGGGAGATAGAGTGGGGTTGGAAGCCGTGGGTTCTTCACCATGGATTTCGCACGTTTCCGGAGTGTGGTCGTTTTTCCCGACTCCGCGGCCTTCGCTTGAGAAGATTGTTACGAAGGAAAGTTTTATCCAGCGCTCGCTTCAGAGCAGCATGCAATAAATGCAGAGTTTGAGGGTGTTTCTTTTTCGGAGTGGTGATTGCGCGGAGATCCTGGACCAAGCATCCTTCGAGACAGTGAGCAATCCTCCCTGGAGCCTCCGCCTTGGAAGTGCGCACCTCGAAGGTAGTCCAAGCCGCTGCCAGTGAAAACGAACGTTTAATGGAGCTCGACGGCGAAAGAAACCCCCCCCCCCCCCCCCCGGTGCACATGATTTCGGGGGTAGCGACAATTGTGGCATTGGCAAGGGTGCCCTGAGCGCCCACAATGATCTCCAATTTATACTTACGGGCTGCCGCCAGTGCCGCCGACCCC